AGCCCCTCCACAGGATGTTTTGGCCTACTCTTCCACGCCGGCCAGACATCTTGGAAGAGGCGGGAGTAACCAAACAAAACCTGACAATCGAATCACTGCGGTGTATCCATTCATACTGTTGCCTGAAACAACGGCAGGGACATTACAAAACGTGCCCATTATAACTCCCGCACCGGGATATTAAACTGGCGACCTCTGGATTTGAAGGCTAGTGTGGTAACTATTACACGACTGTAGCATCTGTGTCAGTATTACACAACAAATAGACGAAAATATGGCGACATTTTTTTTCACCTTGTGTTTTTACGTATTTATCAAAGTCTAAAAAATATGTACAATGAACACAAATCTCGACGGTGTAATTTCAAGGCCTCCCCAACTGATAGCTAACTCATGATGAAAAAAGATACCAATGTTTAAAGCGCAGATCGAGATAATTTTTCCTGCTTCTTCCCTCTATTCTCCCGTTACCCGTAATTGGGTTTCCCGCAATCCTCTCATTCCAATCTGTCTTTCGTTCCTTCACGTTCTCCCTGTGATGCGTTCAGCCCCTATATTTTGTTCCCCCCCCCCTCCACTCTCGGCTTCCTCTCTGACTGAAACCGCCTTCAGTGCATTGCCACCTTGGAACGTGTCTGCAGGTCGACAACGCGTACTGGCTGTGGACGTTTCAAGGCCGCCTGCTGCAGAAGAATGGCCTGGAGCGGTTCTGCCAGCTGCTGTGGCGGCCTCGGCCCGCCACCCTCCTGTCCAAAGAGCAGATTGCGGTACCTATCCCTCCCCCTACCCTGGCCACGTTTATAAAGAAAGACTAAAGCTTCGTGCAATCCCTCCCGAAATCTTCTCATGACTAAAATCATGTATGTAGCCCAGCTGCTGTGGCGGCCTCTGCCGACCAACCTCCAGTCCAAAGAACCGATTGCGGTACCTGTCTCCCCCTTAACCCTGACCACATCTAGAAAGACTAAAACTTCATGCAATCTCTCCCGATATTAAAAAAAAACCACGTTCTTAGCCTGGCGCAAGTTATCGGTTTGATTACACGACTAATTGGGTACCCAAGAAAATAGTTTATAAGTCTCGGCTGTTGCGCGTGTGCCACTGGACGGGAAGTGATGGGAGGGGGGGGTATGCTTGGTGACGTCATCAGCATCGTTCGCGCGTCATGCTGGACGTGGATTGTCGGTGCCTTATTGCCTTTGGGAGACCAGGATGTGGGGTCGTGGGCCCTGATGTGTAAAGGTGTCTTGAGTAAATCGGTCATAAAATAAGTAGTCCGTTACATTTTTTTTTGTCAATCGACTTCTCGCATGCGCATTCCTGCAACTGCATTGATCGTAGCTGCCCCCTGCCGCTCATGAGTGGTACTGTGTGAACGTCGTCCTGTTTTACGTGGTTCTCTTTGAGTTGCAGCCACTTAAAGGAAAATTGTTAGATAGTCGTTATGCCGCCTATAATTGTAACCTTCTATGTTACAGGAAGTCAAAAAGGAATACAAGAAATACCACAAGATGTTTGAGCAAAAGGATCGCATGATGCAGTACAGGGCGTCTAAGGTACGCGCGCACGCACATACGCACGCACGCCCACCCGCCCATACGCACTCACGCCTGTAACGTTTGCTCCTGACATCTGAGATGAGCGGCTACCGTTAGGAGGAAGCCTAGTTTAGCCACTTGTGAATGCAACCGATGCGCTGGACCGGTTATAACAGAATCACCACTGCCGTCCGTGTACGCTCTTTGTCCTCGCGTGATGCAAACACCTTCGTACCTGACACGAGTGCTGGAGGTTATACACAAAACTGATTTAATGAGGCTGATGGAGGAGAAGAGCGTCCCGTCGTTGCTAAGTCATCGTCACAGCTGACGTTCGATTTCCATAATGTACGGTATCGTTTTTATTATATTGTTGCCAACTGCTGTTTAATAAAGTGACATTGTAAGCCGGGTCCAGTGGCGAGCAAACCAGGATTGCAATTCAGAGGCGGCTGGTTTGGTCCGCAGCCCTGGCAGTTGAAACAATGGTGCAGTATTCTTGGGTCTTTGGGTAAAGTCACGTAGATAGGTTAAAAGAAAATTGAAAATAACAAAAAAAAACTACGACGTTTCGATCGCAACACAAAGCGGTGGTCTTCGCTGAACCGATCTACGTGACTTTACCGAAAGACCCAAGAGTGTGAAGTCCTGCAGTCACGAGAGCTTTAAGCCACATTGTTGCAGGTTTCTTAAATCACCCCACCCTTGTGCTAATCCAGCAGTATTAATGGTGAAACGACTGTCGATCGGCAGGTCGCGTGCGGTGGGGTGAGGCGCGTGGGTCATCTTACCGCTATCAAAATGCCTGGCCCAACATGGAAGAGTAGGCCAAAAGACCCTCTAAGAGGGGGAGGGGGGGAGGGTCTATTCAGAGCTCCTTTCCTATTGTTTGGTGTTGTAACTTTCTGAACCCGCCCCTACTGGACATCTGTGAAAAAAAGCTGCATAGCCCATCGCATTTCTCCAGGATAAATAAAGATTCTTGATTCTGATGGCGGAAGGCCCTTTGCGCCAGCAGCGGCAATGGGCAAGCAATTGCAGGGCGGCACCTCCAACAGTAAAAGCCACGCGATTGGTGAATACGTTCTCATGCTACGCCCGTCACTGGTGATCCCGTCGCTCAGGACCTGATTGAGAAGCGGCGGAAACTGCTGGAAGACTACCGGACGTACCGCGAGGACGTGGTGAAGGCCTACGAGGAGCAGAAGGAACGGCGCATGGAGCTGCGAGATGGTGAGCGTGCGTTGCGGTCGACTGGCCACCCCACGGCTGCCTAAAGATTGACTCGGGCGGGGGTTTCAGTCATGGTGAAGCACAGGCATTTGCGCATGCGTGTGCGGTTAGCGCGCTGCGCTACGAGCCCGTCGGCACCGAGTTCGATTCCTGCTCACGGCCAACACCAGTGAAAATTTTCTGAACCAGTTCTGGACCTCTTCTAGGTCGACTCAGCCTAAAATTAGTACCTGGTGCGGTGTGTAAACATTTCTGCTAGGGAGTCAAAGGCGGCCCCGGGCGTGTTGTTGGCCACCCACCCCTTTGTTGCGCCGTGCCGGCCTTCATAGGTGCTCGCTAACCGCACTTGCCCCAAACAGTCTGTTAAGGCTATACGGGGGGGGATCTTTGTCTTCGTGTGCTTGTTGTAGGGCGCGACACAGACCAACTGGACAGCAACATGGAGGACTGGGAGGAGGAGACGATTGAATTCCTCGTCAAGGAGGAGACGATCTTGCTGGAAGACTGAGCAGGTTGGGGAGGGGTGGCAGTGGGAGAAGCGATACGTCCGGTACACTTGCGGAACCATCCCAACAAGTTGTGTTCAGAATCGAAGTTAATTTTTTTCTCGGGTTGATGTGAAAGCGCCAATGCAGCCGCCCTGTCCGTCTGTAAGGTGGCGGTCACGATAACTCTCATAAACGTTGTCCATTATGAAAGTATATTTAGTTTATAGTTGTGTTGCTAGTATTATGGACATTCCCTGTATAAAAATCGGGCAAATTCATTTAAGAGTCATCCAGAACTTGCCCATAAAAGCCAGCGATAATTGGTAAACCAGTTTACCCATTACATTACTCATGACGTCATCTCGTTTTGCGACTCATTTAAGTGAACGTTGCTAAATGGTGTGCATCCGAGGACTCCACTCATTCCTTTGTATTCACATGTGGGTAGGTATTGCTGTGCCCATGAAATTCCGTGTCCATCTAAGGACACACTTCACATTGTTTCTATAAAAAAAATACAAAACCCTAAAATAAATCGGCCTTTGTCACTCACCACGGCAGCTGACAAATACCGTTGCCCACATCTGCATCGTTTCTTGTGCAAAGTTGGCAACAAAATCCTTCCGCAAAAGAATGTTTATCTCAATAAATATGCGTATATATACGCAACATTATGCTTGCAGTACGTGCTAGGATGCGTGGGGGTGTAAGTAAAGGCACCTAATGTGTGCGCGTGTGTATGCATTGGCAACGTGCCATGTGCACATTTGTACAGTCGAATCGATTCCCCAATGGAGGCCCTCTTGATCAGGGGTGGAGCCACAGGGGGGGCTGAGCGGGGGGGGGGGGGGGCTTAGCCCCCCCTGAAATTTTGGGAAAGTCGGTAATCGGAGTAACCGGATATCCGACTGCTGCAAAATGCTGCAGGCTGCCACCTTGTGCTGCCCTGCAGGCTGCCACCTTGTGCTGCCCTGCAGGCTTCCACCTTGTGTGCTGCCCTGCAGGCTGCCACCTCGTGTGCTGTCCTGCAGGCTGCCACCTCGTGTGCTGCCCTGCAGGCTGCCACCTTGTGCTGCCCTGCAGGCTTCCACCTTGTGTGCTGCCCTGCAGGCTGCCACCTTGTGCTGCCCTGCAGGCTGCCACCTTGTGCTGCCCTGCAGGCTGCCACCTTGTGCTGCCCTGCAGGCTTCCACCTTGTGTGCTGCCGTGCAGTCTTCCACCTTGTGTGCTGCCCTGCAGGCTGCCACCTCGTGTGCTGCCCTGCAGGCTTCCACCTTGTGTGCTGCCGTGCAGTCTTCCACCTTGTGTGCTGCCGTGCAGGCTGCCACCTCGTGTGCTGCCCTGCAGGCTGCCACCTCGTGCTGCCCTGCAGGCTTCCACCTTGTGTGCTGCCCTGCAGGCTTCCACCTTGTGTGCTGCCCTGCAGGCTGCTTGAGCGGCAGCCTTTCGAGCTTATCGAACTTATTAGCCACATCGGCGGCTCCGACCTATTAATAAACTCCGCGTTCATATCCAATAAAATGTGTTATATATATTTGTTGTGCCCATTGGAAAACATAAACACTGGATATCTCAGAATATTGAAGTCAGCCCCCCCCCCCAAAGTCAAAATCCTGGCTCCACCCCTGCTCTTGATGCACTTGTTTATCCGCTTGTGGTTGGTTTTTTTGTTTCTGCGCAGTCATTTTTTTCTGTTAACGTTTAGATTTTTATTTTCTTTCGCAGGTGATCGCAAAAGAGCGGTGTTCTTATTGGAGTGAACACCGAGACTATTTTGTACCATCCGCATAGGACGCATTTACCGGAGAGAGGTTTGGATTTTATGCAACATGGCCTCCTTGCTCACCCCTCGCGAGCCTGTGCCTTTGTTGGAGCGTCTCCCGTCGTCAAACTTTTTTGCGATTGTAAAATAAAGAATGAGGCCAGGAAACCTGCCGACTGGAGCTGCCCCGTTTTATTTCTCGGCGTAATCCACTGTTAAGGTATACAGTACATGGAGTAAAGTGTTACCAGTGGCCTATATACAACTGACCTTTGCGTATACATATACTATTGTTACCACAGAAGAAATATATGTTTAATCGTATAGCTATTTGTGGAAATTCCACAGTCCAATGGCAAGCGCAAGCTGGCTGAACAACCTCTTGTCTGCTGCTTACAAAGTGGGCCACTCAGTTTATCAATCACGGTCGGATGAAGGGCTGAGTTGACCTCTGATCATGATTCTAACTGGCAATTTGGTTGCGACTCCACTTTGTAATCACAATGAACGCGATGATGAACATTTCATCCGAGTGCAAGCTGTGTGTGTTGGTCAAATTTAACTCGACGAGGCCTTGACTGGGCAATCCTTGTGCTGTAGCGTCTCCGGGTACGGGCGTGGCGTGTCGTATATTACTTCCTCAAAAACGTGGTCGTCGTCCGAATCTTCGATTGTCAGTTTCTCGAGGCTGGGGCTGGCAGGACGAGCGCAGCCCTGGCTCCTGGGCGTTGAATATTTTCGCAATTTAGGCGGCAGTGGAGGAGTTTTGAGCGGTGGTTTTCTGGCTGTGGGGTGCGGGGTGGTGGGGGCGGGGTGGTGGGGGGGGGGGCGATCACAAATTAAAAAAAAACTCTAAAAATCACAAACAAGATCGAGGTGTGAAGGATCAACTTTTCAGCCCCTGCAATAGCTTGCTGACGCTACTGCTGAATGGCAGAAGGGGCCCTCCACTCGACCGGAGATCTCGAGAGTCCCCCTGGAGGTTATTTTGGCCTACTCTTCCACACTGGCCCAGACACCTTAGAACAAGTGGGAATTACCCACTCTTTTACCCCACCACACGAGACGCTGCCGATCAACTAACCGGTGTACCCATTTAACAATCGCCGGGTGTACAGTGGCCGGGGGGGGGGGGGTGTAGGGATGGTGAGAAACTTTATCGATTGTCTCAACTGCCGCTGCCAGGTGATGGAATCCAACCGGCGACCTATGCATTGCAACTGCAGTGCGCGAACCGTGACACCACCTCCCGGGTAGCACGGCTGGCTACGTACGGTGCGCAAGAAATTCGACATACACCACTGCGCTGCCGTCCGTGATTTTTAGAAACCGATTGAAAGGTGCCGTGTTATTCCATTGGGCGTTTAATGCTTCGGTCATCTTGGGCCCATTTAACTGGCAATAAACTAAACTTATTTTACCAGGTGTGAGGCCGACTGAGCCACATAGCTCGTTTTCAGAAGCAACCTGGCCACAAATAGCCCAACGAAATGGCTTATCACTTTGAAATTTCTAGCATCCAAATTTTCTAAACACGTGGAGGGAAAAATTGGAGGACCCGAGTACACAGCAGGCATCAGGGTCGGGATCGAACCCACAAACCCCTGTGTATCTAATAATAGGGGTTTTCCCCTTTTTTCTGGCAACAAAACTGAAACCTTTTTACAAGGATTCATGTCTGCAGTAACCACAATACCTGCAGTCAAAATGCAAACAAAAAACATACTATGATAATATATGCATTGTCCTTGAAACTGATTGGTCCACACCAAGGGACGGCTTTCTTTTGAGCCTCGACCCAATTGGTGCTCGACCAGATGACGCCAGAAGGCGTCATCTGGTCCTTGGGTGTGGACCAATCAGTTTCAAGGACAATGCATATATTATCATAGTATGTTTTTTGTTTGCATTTTGGCTGCAGGTATTGTGGTTAATGCAGACATGAATCCTCGTAAAAAGGTTTCAGTTTTGTTGCCAGAAAAAAGGGGAAAAACCCTATTACATTTTGGTACTGGCAAAGGAGGTCTAATGATGTAGATGCTCACCCTGTGTATCAGGCGAGGTAATTAAACATCTCGGCGTCCTAAATGACGTTCGGGTTCATCTTGAACGCCTACAGACAAGGGAGAGTGTGACGGGTGGGAATGCTTCTTACTGCTGGGCGGTCTCTGTGGGATCGGCGGCGGCTCTCGCGTCGGCTGCATTTTCTGCGTCGTCATCGGCGGCGCCGTCTCCTGCGTCCCCACGTGGTCGCAACAACGCAGCGTGACCGCGGCGATTAGTAACACCCGGGTATCGAACCGCCGCGTTCCACTTCTACGGTGAAAGGGGACTTCGGAGTAAGTGCTGCGACTGGTAAATTGGCAGTTCCCTTCTACGAGAGTCTTCGCTCAAAGGCTATTGCACCGTTTGACCTTCATTACGTAAATGAACGTTGACTCACGGAGTTCGAGTCGTGAGCCTCCTTGCGGGTCCAGTTGCGATTGGTTGTCGCGCCGTTCTCCGTTGACGCGAGCGCGCCCGTCAGTCTGTCCACGGGTGGCGTATCGATGTACCTGAAAATCACCGCCCGGCATCGCCACCGCCATTCCTTCTGTAGCGCCGTTCACAATCCGGGGCGCTGCTGCGGTGTGACGGTTCGCGCAAAGGACTTGCAAGCCAGAGGCCGCTGGCTTTGTATCCCGACACTGCAAGGCCGGATTAAGGTTCTTGTAGGCCCCTCGGCCCTTCTCTTTCATGGGCCTTCAGTGATAACTTTCTACAGTTGGAACTGCTGATTTTAAAATAAACTGTCCGCGAACAACCATAGGACAACAACGCACGTCTGCACTTGGGCCATTCTCTTTTAAGAATAAGATTGTACGAAAAGCACCATTTGAAGATGTTACTTGCTAATTTTGTTAATTTCTCTTATTGAAAAAAAACGATTGACATGCCCCTTTACATATATACACTCTGCCTATCCTTGCTATATATGAACGTAATCAACCAGGTAGGGCGTTGATTGTTATGTTAACCGACTGTGTTATATTGCATTATATTTCAAAGTTTACTAGGTTTTTTCATTCGTACCTGATGATGATTGCTTCTTGCAATCGAAACGTATGCTATTTAAAAAAACAATTCTACGTGACTTTACCAAAAGATCCAAAGAGTAATTCCTGCAGTCACGAAAGCTCCAAATCAAGTTTATATTTATTCAAGAAGATATGTTGTTTACATTTTTTTCTCGTAGGCCCCTTTAGTTTGTGTCGGCCCTATTATATATGTGTGTAGGTTACCAGACGGAGACGGCCTTCCGCTGGGAGGAGGAGCGGCGGGCACTCGATGATTTGGACAGCAGCGTCTCTATCCACGACTTGCACTCCTCGTTTGAGTCTGCAGCCTGGTTGTGTGTGCACGCGCACGCAGCCACATCACGTTGACAGCTGACACGGTGGCAAAGGCGAATGGCATTCTGGGGCACGAAGCGACAGATCCATTTCGATCATTATATGCTCACTCGGCTGCCACCTCCGATTGGCACGGTTGGCTACGTGCGGCGCGAAAGAAGTTCAACGTACATACTAAAAGTGCAAGCTTTGTACTGTGTGCGTTCCCATTCTCCTGAAATGTTGCACCGATGCCTACTTTATAGAGGGTGATACGGGCACGTTCAATAATGATTAATTGATCGAAGGTCACATCTGCTGCTTTTGTGCATTTTCCTGCGAAACCGAAAACGCCGTGAGCTTTAAAGGCAAATGCTCAGCATGCGCCGGTTGCCCAAAGGAGTTGAACAATGCATTGCATTGTCTTGTCTGGTGCTCCCTCAAGTGGAATCCCTTCCTGCCGGCAGTTACGACGGCAAGAAATTGCAGGGCTGTGCCGCCCGTTACGTTGGCCACACGATGAACCGACGCGAAGTGCGGTGTTACGGTATTCACCAAGATGACCGTCTTCTCCGCAGAGAGCACAACCTCAAACGAAAAGTTTTTGCCCGTTGAAGTCACCTCTCCGATGGTTTTAATCTGAAAGCAAAAAGAACGCATCGCGTAACAAGTTGATACCGGACTATGTTGTCGGTCGTTTAAAGCAGCGGGACGTATATTGTCTAATTATGGTTTTTTTTCATGCAAGAAGACCAGGGGATATTTGGCCGATGGATGTTATTGCATTGCAGGGAGGGCATGTGTATGATAATATATTCAATGTCATGCCGTAAATGAGAATAACAATGCCCCTGATTCAAGAAAACTTCACTTAACTATGAATTAACTTAAGTCTTTTTACTTGACCAGGTAAGGCCGGCTGAGCTGTGTAGCTCTTAGTCAGAAGCGACCTGGCCACAATGATATCACCAACGAAGTGGCTTTTCACGTGGAAATGTATCGCAGTAGCCAATTACTCTAAACGCACCACGTCGATTCTGAATGTGGAGGGGAAAACCCGGAGGGCCCAGACACAAATCCACGCGACCACGGAGAGAGAGGAATACATGCAAACTCCAAATATACAGCAGCAGGCATCGGGGTCGGTTATCGAACCCACGAACTCCTGCATACCAGGCGAGGTAGTTAACATCTCGCCACCGTGGCGCGATACTTGAGTCTGGAGACTTTCAGGAGGGTCCTGCCCTGGGATGTTTGGCCAATTCCATTACCGAGTGTTTTGCATTAAGGTCCGGCACGGGTGGGTTCTGGAATCTACTTGCTGTGCTGTCACCTCCTGGCGGCCTCGCAGCTCGGTGGGGTTTGAGGGTGGCACACAGCGCTGGCCCTCGTGGGTCTGCGCCTCCACCTCATCCGTACTTTACCCACAGTATGCATGACTCACAGTACGCGTGACAGAACATGTGACCCACAGTATGCATGACTCACAGTACGCGTGACAGAACATGTGACCCACAGTATGCGTGTCCCACTACGCTTGACAGTACCCGTGACAGTACGCGCGACCCACAGTACAACTGACAGTACACGACACAGTACGCATGATCCACAGCACGCTTGCCAGTACGCGTGACATTACGCGTGACCCACATGACGCCTGACAGTACACCTAACCCACAGTACGCGTGCACCACAGTACACGTCACACAGTACGCATGACCCACAGTTCGCCTGACAATACACGTAACCCACAGGACGTGTGACCCACAGTTCGTGACAATACACGTGACAGCACACCTGACAGTACACGTCACACTACGCATGACCCACAGTAAACTTGACAGTACACGTAACCCACAGTACGCTTGACAGTACACGTCACTACGCGTGACCCACAGTACGCGTGACCCACTGTACGCCTGACAGTACACGTCACACTACGCATGACCCACACTACGCATGACCCACACTACGCGTGAACCACAGTACGCCTGACAGTAGACGTCACACTACGCATGACCCACAGTACACGTAACCCACAGTACGCTTGACAGTACACGTCACACTACGCGTGACCCACACTACGCGTGACCCACAGTACGCCTGACACAACACGTCACACTACGCATGACCCGCAGTACGCGTGACCCACAGTACGCGTGACCCACAGCACACGTGACCCACAGCACACGTGACACAATACACAGGGTGCATGTCACGGAACCCCGTTACACAGCACGCGTGACCCACAGTACTCGCCTTGTTCACGTCTATGACGCCGTGAGGCTGAAACACATCGCAAGCGAGACACGGTAAGGAGAATGACAATATAATCATTGGTTTTACCATCTCTGGCAATTAAAACAGGCGGTGTTAAGGCGTTAAAACACCAAGGAATCGTGTCTGCATTAACCACACGTAATTGTGGATGACATGTAAATACAACAAAAAAACCATGCTCCGATAGTAGATGCATCCCGGCCAGGTAACGTTGCTTATTTTCTCCTCGTGGACAGGCGATGCGAGTCCCGACACCGTCGGCCCTCGCCAGATGCCCTCACCCACAAAAAAAAGCCAAGACAAAGATCCCCCGTGAAGCCTAAACAGACTGCTGGGGCAAGTGCTGTTGTCGAGCACCTATGAAGAAGGCCGGCAACGACACACCAATGTGGTGGGTGGCCAGTGGCCAGCGTCACCCACCCCCGGGGCCGCCTTTGTCTCCCGAGCGGCGGTGTTTACCGCACCGTGTAGTCATTTGAGGCCGAGTCGACCTAGACGAGGCCGCGGACCGGTTCAAATAACCCGTCGCTGGCCATTGGCCGTGATCGGGATTCGAACTCTCGTGGCCAAAGGCGCAGGCCCGCAAATAGCTCGCACTCGCTGCTGCTGGCGGAAGGGACTTCACTGAAGAGGGTATTTGGCCTACTCTTCCACGCTAACCGGACGTCTCGGAAGAGGTGTGATTAAACGGGGTTCTCAATGGGGGGGGGCAGTGAGTTGATTGTTGATTGTCTCCACCCGGTCACCAATGATTGAACGCAACCAACACAAGTAGCTACTACATATGTAGTAGCTACTTGTGCTGGTTGCTACATATGTAGCTACTACACATGTAGTAGATACATGTGTAGTAGCTACTACTACATATGTAGCTACTACTACATATGTAGCTACTACTAAATATGTAGCTACTACTACATATGTAGCTACTACTACATATGTAGCTACTACTACATATGTAGCTACGGGCCCCGCACTTTCAAGGGCCCCGAGCTGAACGCTTACAAGCTATCAATTCCGGTTCAGTGATTCTGCACTTGCTCTATTACTATAGTACTATACCGCCTTCGACTTTTACGAACGGCTGGGTGTTTAAGGTTAGCGATTTTATCTGGCTGTGTCGCAAATGAAAAAAAAAATGCAATTACTTTACTATGCAAGTTAAAATGTGTCTTAATATTTACGTGTTTTTGTTTTAATTTAGGGCCCCTTTATAAAATATGCTACAGGCCCCGCACTCGTGACCAGGGCAGTGATATTTTGAAATGTAGCTATGTTCAATGAGAAGACGTGATGTGCATTTGTGTCTTTCTTTCACGTAAAGTCCTAATAATAGCCATTTTCTATACTTTTGAGGCATAATAAGCAATTAGAAAAGAACACTTACCACCCAGGAACAAAAAATCGTGTCACACGCGTAATAATAATAATAATTATGCTGATAAAGAAAGCTTGCAAGGCGACTCACGCTGGTGCAGTCGCGGCTTTTGAAGTAACAGAGTTTGCCGCCCTTCAGCCGGAACCAATACCGCCTCCAGAGGAAGCTCTGCGGGCACACGGGACGTGGGGGGAGGTGGGGGGAGGTGGGGGGGGGGGGGAGGTGGGGGGAGGTGGGGGGGGGGAGGTGGGGGGAGGTGGGGGGGGAGGTGGGGGGATAAACTGAGCAAGACCGATGCTGCGGTGTTGGCAGGAAGGAGGCGATGGCGAGGTGTGTGTGTGTGTGTGCCACTGTGTGTGTGCCACTGTGTGTGTGTAGGTGCTCGGTAACAGCACTTTCGCCTACAGTCTGTTAAGGCTATATGGGGGATCTTTGTTTATCTTTGTGTGTGCCACTGTGTGTGTGTGTGCGTGGTTGGCACAATAGGGGGCACAGGTGGTGCATCAGCCAGTCATCTCAGTCAGTCGACCAGTGGCACCTGGGTCTGCCCCGTGACCTCCTGCCAGCGGGCGTTCGACACTTCACGTGGCCTCAGGGTGCACATAGCCTGGCACAAGCGTCGTGGTGACGTCGCCGCCACTTAGTGGCGAATGGCGGTTGTTGTTGTTGTTGTGTGCGTGCCACTGTGTGTGTGTGCCACTGTGTGTGTGTGCGTGCCACTGTGTGTGTTTGCCGGCAAAACAACCCCCTACCTCCTCGCGGTGCCGGACGGGCAACTCTGTCGTGGACAGTGCTGTGGGGGGAGGTCCAATTGTGATTGGCTCCTCCCCTCATGGCATATGTGTCCACCACAGGGGATAAACGGGGACTCTGGACGGGTGCGAGGGGCTGGTAACCCCTCCACCTTCAATTAATTACCACTAAACCGCGAATTAAGTATATAACTAATAAGCTTGTGCCGGAGGCCCCGGGGGGCCAGGCGTCTATGACGTCTCCTGGCCAAACCCCAATTGGTGGAGCCAGGAGATTGAATATCTACCCTCGGGGCTCCTCCAGAAATAACGAAAAACCACTACGGGTGGCCACGTGGAATGTTCGAACGCTCACTGCGGAGGAGAGGCTGCCACTCCTCTGTCGGGAGCTGGACCAGTACCGCCTGGATCTATGTGGCATTCAGGAGGTCCGGTGGACCGGCTCTGGCTCCTGCCACCATGAGGGGTGGACAGTCCTCTACTCAGGGCAGCAGACTGCCAAACAACAGGGTGTGGCTCTTCTTTTGAACAAAAGAATGAAGGGGGTGTGGGAGCGTGGCGGTGAGGTGTGGGAAGCTGTAAGCCCCAGGCTACTTTGGGCTCGCCTTCCCATCAACCGGAGGCGAGGAATGGTGGTCGTGGTTACTTATGCCCCCACCGAAGATGAACATCCGTGGAGGGATGCAGGCAAAGCCGATGAGTCAGATGCCTTCTATGACCTCCTGTCACAGGTGCTGGCTAAAGTGGCCCCTCGGGATAGAGTCATCATGTTGAGTGACTTCAATGCCCGAGTTGGTCATGATACTGGCACCTTGTCTGGAGTGATTGGAGGGCATGGGCCAGATCAGCTCAATAACAACGGTAGGAGGCTGCTAGATTTTTGTGCAGCCCATGGGCTTGTAATTACCAACACGCTGTTCCGGCATCGGCGCATCCACACAACATCATGGATGCATGCCGGGTCCAAGCATGAACATCTGCTGGACTACATAGTGACGGACCAGCGGATGCGAGCCCATGTCCTTGACACCAGGACCTACCGTAGAGCTGATCTGCCCTCTGACCATCGACTAGTCATCTGTAAGATGCGCCTGCCATTCTTCCACTCCGGTGGTGGGTGTACACCCAGGACCCCATTCCAACCTAAAGTGGCCTAGTCTCAGTTATCTGATGAAAGTTGCAAGCGAGAATTTCATCATCGCTTGCGGCTGGGATTGGCATCATCCCCGACTCCTCCTAATGTCGAGGGTAAATGGGCAAGGTTTAGGACTGTGACTCATGCAGCTGCAATGGCTGCTTTGGGTACGCGGTCCAGACCTCCCCAGAGACCCTGGCTGACAGAGGAGGTGTTCAGGATGGTTGAGAAAAAGCGACAGGCCCACTGTCATCGGCTACAGAATCCCATGTCAGAGAATGAGGGGGCTTACCGCAGCCTTCGCTCGGAGGTTCGGAGAGCCGTGAGGCGCTGCAAGGATGGGTGGTAGTCGCGGGTTGCTGAGGAGATGGAGTCTGCCTCAGTGGCCCGTGATCACAAATCTCTATTTAACTCCATCAAAAAGTAATCTGCAGCGCCACACCTATTACCATCATTAGGGGAAAAAATGGTGACCCAATCTCCGACCCCCAGGAACAGGTTTGCAGATTTGCTGAGCATTTCTGTGAGGTCCTGGGGGAGGGAAAATCCCTCAGCCAGGAAAACATCGTGGCACAAAGTGAGGATGACCCTGCTGAGGCTGCGGTGCCTCAAATATTGGAAGAAGTCACCCCCTGTGAGTTGCTGGCTGAGGTGCCATCTGTTGAGGAAGTACTGAAGGCGATCCGGAGTCTGAGACCAGGAAAGGCAGCGGGCAGAGATGATCTCCCAAGCGAAATGCTGAGGGAGGGCGGCGTTTGTGCACAGACTGACATCATAACAACAGGTTGGACCACTGGACGGGTTCCGCAGGATTGGAAGGAGGACCGCACAGACTGTAACAACTACAGGGGCATCTCACTCCTCAGTGTGCCGGAAAAGGTCCTGGCAAGGATTATTCAACATCGCCTTGCCAGGCACGCTGAGGAGAGGCTTGCGGAGCCCCAATGCGATTTCAGGAAAGGGTGGTCCTGCACAGATGCCATATTTTCTGTCCGTCTGCTACAGCAGAGGTGTTGGGAATTCCAACAAGACCTACATCTCTGCTTTATTGACCTGGTCAAGGCCTATGATACCATCAGTAGGCCTGGGCTCTGGGTTGTTCTTCGTGCTTTTGGAGTACCTGACCCTCTGCTCACGATCATTAAGGATCTTCATGATGGTGAGCGGGCCCGGGTAAAACTACGTGGCCGGGAGTCAGAGCCATTCCCTGTACACCTTTGGGTTCGACAGGGATGTCCTCTGGCTCCCACATTATTTAACATCTATTTTGACCACGTAGTTCGTGAAGCCTTCAATAGCTGTACTGAGAGAATCTCCATATGGTACAGATATAATGGGAGGCTGATCGATGCCCGAGTGCGGTCAAGGGATGGCTCCCTATTGCTCAACCACGTTATGTATGCTGATGATTTGGTAATAGCTGCTCATTCAGAGGAGGAGTTGGAGACACTGCTGCTGAGACTGGAGCGTGCCACTACGAGGTGGGGCCTTACCATCAGCCCCACCAAAACTAAGGACCTGCCTGGGTATTTTGTACCATCGGACACTCCACCCCCACAACTCCCAATCGGTGATGGGGCAGTTGTGGAGAGAGTGGAGAGTTTCCCATACCTGGGCAGTGTGCTTATGACTGGCTCCAGTTTAACAGCAGAGGTCTCACTCCGAATCAGTCGAGCGGCAATATATTTTCATCGGTTGCGTAACGCTGTGTGGAAGCTACCTGGTCTGTCGCTCCGCACTAAGCTTCAGGTCTTCTCGGCCACGGTCATTCCCTCCCTTCTCTACGCTTGCGAAACGTGGACCCCCCTAATGGAACATCTTCGCCGGTTAGAAACATTTAGGCTGGCCTGCCTACGATCCATCCTGGGTTTAACCAGACTGGATTGTGTGAGGAGCTCACAAATCCTTGAAAGATCTGGCAAGGTCCCATCGGTGAGCTCCTCCGGCAGGCAAGGCTGCGATGGCTGGGTCATGTAGCCCGCATGCCCAGCCACCGCATGCCGAAACAGCTTTTGTTTGGCTGGATTGAGGAGGCTAAGCGGGCGCGGCACGGGCTAGAGAAGAGATGGAGTGATGTGGTACAGGAGGACGTGGAGCTGAGTGGACTTGCCGATGACTGGTACCAGCGGTGTCAAGATCGGCCTCTGTGGAGGAGGCTCGTGAAGGATGCTACTGGGCAGTTGGAGGCAGTCGCCCTCCAACAACAACGGAGGACGGAGGAGCGACGCTCAGAACAACCAGCGGAGCGCCGGGTGGCTAAAGCACAGCAGGTTGCCACAGTAGGGGGCACAGGTGGTGCATCAGCCAGTCATCTCAGTCAGTCGACCCGTGGCACCTGGGTCTGCCCCGTGACCTCCTGCCAGCGGGCGTTCGACACTTCACGTGGCCTCAGGGTGCACATAGCCTGGCACAAGCGTCGTGGTGACGTCACCGCCACTTAGTGGCGAATGGCGGTTGTTGTTGTGTGCGGTCGTGTTGTGGTTAGGGGCTGTCCATAAATGACTTCACGCGATTTTGGACGATTTTTGACCCCCCTCGCCCGTTCGTCACACGGCGTCACAAACAGTCAGACTCCCTCCCTCAAATATGACATCACAAAGCTCTGCCCCCCCCCCCCAAATATATATAAAACATGCTTCAAATCGCTTTAAACTATTGTCATTGTAGTGCGTATTTAATGTGGCGCTGCACTCTGATATTGTAGGAGAAAACATTTATTAAAAAGTCTATTTAATTAAGCAGAACGTGCTGTCTATATTTATTTAAAGTTGCGCATTTTGATGTGACGTCACATTTCTCAAACTCCCCCCCCCCCCTCGTCACATATCGTCACACATGTCTGACCCCCGCCTCGGGCTGTCTGTAAGACCGGTTCGCCCATCCCAAGCACTCTCCAGACTCAACTCTGCTTCGCTTTCCGAGATGCTGGCCGGATCGCTCGCATTCCGAGTTATTTGGCCACAGGGCGAATGTGTTTGTAGCAAAGCCGTAATTATAATACCCCCCCAATATTCAAATATGCTGAAAATGTCCCCGCCCCCACCCCCCAATATATTGCTAGAAAATAGATTTCTGTTTATTTTATTGTGGTTATGGTTGTATAATTATTAATCCCTAATCTCTGCTATTGCATACAATGAAACAAGAAAAGGTAAAAAGAAAAAAACAGAGCAATGTAATACAACACACTATTAGACATTATTGTAAAAAGATTAATAAAAAGTCCAGCCTATGTATTAGTGATTTTTTTTATATATTTTAGGCAGGAAATTCGTTTTCAAGTTTCGATTTTTTTTCTGGGGGAGGACCCCCAGACCCCCTGGAAGATTTGGTCTCCCCCAATGTTGACTCCATGGCTACGGCCTTGGTTTGTAGTGTACGTGGTGTATCGTGTGTATGCCGCGTCTTACCTATACGGTTTAACCCCGTATGTTTTGTACAAGGAAATTGAGTTATCAGGCCCATACGGCGTACAGCCGTTTCAATGCGGGCAAAATAACATTTTTGTTGCGTATTTGTTTGTGTTTCTCCCTTGTGTTGGGACTTTGTAGGATGAACGTTGAGGTTTATAAGGGGGCACGGGGTGGCCAATAAGGTCTGAATTGGTCTGTAATAAGGTAGGAGGCACTGATAAGGGGTTGACAGGTATGTATTTATTTAATAGCTCGTTTGTGCGACTAGATGCTAGGGTAGAGCCACCTTTCCCACAGACCAAAGCCAGAGTATTCCGTGGTAAAGTTCAACACACAAACCAGAACCAGACCTCGGCACAAATCAATTCGCGAAATTCACACCGGTCACGCGATAGATAAGCGCCAATTTTCGGACTGTCCAGGTCGAACCGGAGCAGGTGGCAACGCTCGTCCGTGGATGAGTAAGTGGGTGAATGGTTTAGAGCAAGTGAGTGTGTGAATGTGTTGAGTGAGTGTGAGAATGGGTGAGTGAGTGTGAATGGGTGAGTGAGTGTGTGTGTGTGAATGGGTGAGTGAGTGTGTGTGTGTGAATGGTTGAGTGAGTGAGTGTGTGAATGGGTGAGTGAGTGTGAATGGGTGAGTGAGTGAGTGTGTGAATGGGTGAGTGAGTGAGTGTGTGAATGGGTGAGTGAGTGAGTGTGTGAATGGGTGCGTGAGTGAGTGAGTGTGTGAATGGGTGAGTGAGTGTGTGAATGGGTGAGTGAGTGTGAATGGGTGAGTGAGTGAGTGTGAATGGGTGAGTGAGTGAGTGTGTGAATAGGTGAGTAAGTGGGTGAATGGTTTAGAGCAACTGAGTGTGTGAATGGATGGGTGAGCGTGAATGGGTGAGTGAGTGAGTGTGTGTGTAAGTGGGTGACTGTGTGAGTGTGTGAATGGGTGAGTGAGTGTGTGAATGGGTGAGTGCGTGTGTGAATGGTTTAGAGCGAGTGAGTGTGTGAATGGGTGAGTAAGTGGGTGAATGGTTTAGAGCAACTGAGTGTGTGAATGGATGGGTGAGCGTGAATGGGTGAGTGAGTGTGTGTGTAAGTGGGTGACTGTGTGAGTGTGTGAATGGGTGAGTGAGTGTGTGAATGGGTGAGTGAGTGAGTGTGTGAATGGGTGAGTGAGTGTGTGGGTGAGTGAGTGAGTAAGTGTGTGGGTGAGTGTGTGAATGGGTGAGTGTATGGGGTGGTTGAGCTAGGGTTTACCCACCTGTTGCGCAGACCAAAGCCGGTCGGCACTAAGTAGTCAATGAGAACTGTGCCGTCTACTGCCAAAAAGCCCAACAAAATACCGACCGGCAACAGATATCAGTACAAACCAATTATCCGAACCGCTCGCGTTTGTGTAAATGTATTTGTGCGTTCGGCAGACAGGTGACTCTTAAACCCGGACAGTCCTTTGCCACCTGCCCGGGTCTGGGGTTTGCCACCTGCCCGGGTTTAATACGGATTTAGCCCGGTCAGGTGGCAACCCCCCGGACTACGCGTCGTGTTGAACTGTGTGCTTCTCGCGGACAAAGTCGAACTCACAACTTTGTCGCGTCGCTTTTCCAAGAAGCCTTCCATCGTCTCGTCTCCGCAATCCATCATCCACCCCCCCCTCCCCGTAGCCGGGATTCCGAGCAGACTCCGCTTGGATTCCGAGCAGACACCTGTTGCGCGACACACCTGTGCGCGTGAGTGTGTGCGTACCTGTGTCTGAGTCTTCGTGTGTGCGCCTGAGTGTGTCTGTGCTTGGTTAAGCGTGGTCTTTATACGGAAGTGAATGAGCCCTTCCTTATATTGCTGTGTGCTGCTCGGAAGACAGGTGTGTGCATATTTTAAACGTATGTGGTAGTTACGTACAGAGAGTTGCGTGTGTAAGGCAAGTGTGTGCGTGTTACATGTGTGTGTGTTAGGCAGGTAAGTGTGTGCTAGTTTTAGTTAAAATGTGTGTGTTAATCTCTATTTAACTCCATCAAAAAAGTAACCTGCAGCGCCACACCTATTACCATCATTAGGGGAAAAAACGGTGATCCAATCTCCGACCCCCAGGAACAGGTTTGCAGATTTGCTGAGCATTTCTGTGACGTCCTAGGGGAGGGGAAATCCCTCAGCTAGAAAAACATCGTGGCAAAAAATGTGGATGACCCTGCTGAGGCTGCGGTGCCTCAAATATTGGAAGAAGTCACCCCCTGTGAGTGGCTGGCTGAGGTGCCATCTGTTGAGGAAGTAGTGAGGGCGATCCAGAGTCTGAGACCAGGAAAGGCACCGGGCAGAGATGATCTCCCAAGCGAAATGCTGAGGGAGGGTGGCGTTTGTGCACAGACTGCTCTATATGACATGATAACAACAGTCTGGACCACTGGACGGGTTCCGCAGGATTGGAAGGATGCCTTGGTGGACCGCACAGACTGTAACAACTACAGGGGAATCTCACTCAGTGTGCCGGGAAAGGTCCTGGCAAGGATTATTCAACATCGCCTTGCCAGGCACGCTGAGGAGAGGCTTGCGGAGCCCCAATGCGGTTTCAGGAAAGGGCGGTCCTGCACAGATGCCATATTTTTTGTCCGTCTGCTACAACAGAGGTGTAGGGAATTCCAGCAAGACCTACATCTCTGCTTTATTGACCTGGTCAGGGCTTATGATACCATCAGTAGGCCTGGGCTCTTGGTTGTTCTTCATGCTTTTGGAGTCCCTGAACCTCCACTCACGATCATTAGGGATCTTCATGATGGTGAGCGACCCGGGTAAAACTACGTGGCCGGGAGTCAGTGCCATTCCCTGTACAACTTGGGGTGCGACAGGGATGTCCTCTGGCTGCCACATTATTTAACATCTATTTTGACCACGTAGTTCATGAAGCATTCAATAGCTGTACTGGGGGAATCTCCATTTGGTACAGATATAATGGGAGGCTGATCGATGCCCGGATGTGGTCAAGGGATGGCTCCCTTTTGCTCAACCACGTTATGTATGCCGATGATTTGGTAATAGCTGCTCATTCAGAGGAAGAGTTGGAGACGCTGCTGCTGAGACTGGAGCCTGCCACTAAGAGACGGGACCTTACCATCAACCCTACTAAAACTAAGCACCTGCCTGGGTATTTTGTTCCATCGGACACCCCACCCCCACAACTCCCAATCGGTGATTGGGCAGTTGTGGAGAGAGTGGAGAGTTTCCCATACCTGGGCAGTGTGCTTATGACCGGCTCCAGTTTAACAGTAGAGGTCTCACTGCGAATCAGTCGAGCAGCGTTATCTTTTCATCGGTTGCGTAACGCTGTGTGGAAGCTACCTGGTCTGTCGCTCTGCACTAAGCTTCAGGTCTTCTCGGCCATGGTCATTCCCTCCCTTCTCTACGCTTGCGAAACGTGGACCCCCCCTAATGGAACATCTTCGCGGGTTAGAAACATTTAGGCTAGCCTGCCTACGTTTCATCCTGGGTTTCACCAGGCTGGATTGTGTGAGGAGCTCACAAATCCTTGAAAGATCTGGGCAAGGTCCCATCGGTGAGCTCCTGCGGCAGGCAAGGCTGCATTGGCTGGGTCATGTAGCCCGCATGTCCAGCCACCGCATGCCGAAACAGCTTTTGTTCGGCCGGATCGAGGGGGCTAAACGGGCGAGGCACGGGCTAGAGAAGAGATGTAGTGATGTGGTACAGGAGGACGTGGAGCTGAGTGGACTTGCCGATGACTGGTACCAGCGGTGTCAAGATCGGCCTCTGTGGAGGAGGCTCGTGAAGGACGCTACTGGGCAGTTGGAGGCAGTCGCCCTCCAACAACAAAGGAGGGCGGAAGAGCGACGCTCACAACAACGAGCGGAGCGCCGGGTGGCTAAACCACAGCAAGTTGGCACAGTAGGGGGCACAGGTGGTGCATCAGCCAGTCATCTGTCATCTTAGTCAGTCGACCTGTGGCACTTGGGTCTGCCCCGTAACCTCCTGCCAGCAGTCGTTCGACACTTCACGTGGCCTCAAGGTGCACATGGCCTGGCACAAGCGTCGTGGTGACGTCACCGCCACTTAGTGGCGAATGGCGGTTGTTGTTGTAGATCGGCAGGTAGTAGAAGCACAGTTGGTTACGTACGGTGCGAATAAGGTTCAAAATACATACGTAAGAGGGAGTGTGATAGGAAGGCAAGCAATGTTGTGTGAGTGCAGGTGTGTTCGGTCAGTGCATAGAATTATAGTAGGTGTGCTAATCAGACAGGTAAGTGTGTATACGTATCGGTTGCTTAACAGATACCGTGAGGGAAGAAAGTGTTTGATCCCCTTCTGATTTTGTACGTTTGCCCACTGACAAAACAATGATCAGTCTATAATTTTAATGGTAGGTTTATTTGAACAGTGAGAGACAGAATAACAACAACAACATCCAGAAAAACGCATGTCAAAAATGTTATAAATTGATTTGCATTTTAATGAGGGAAATAAGTATTTGACCCCTCTGCAAAACATGACTAAGCACTTGGTGGCAAAACCCTTGTTGGCAATCACAGAGGTCAGATGTTTCTTGTAGTTGGCCACCAGGTTTGCACACATCTCAGGAGGGATTTTGTCCCACTCCTCTTTGCAGATCTTCTCCAAGTCATTAAGGTTTCGAGGCTTACGTTTGGCAACTCGAACCGTCAGCTCCCTCCACAGATTGTCTATGGGATTAAGGTCTGGAGACTGGCTAGGCCAATCCAGGACCTTAATGTGCTTCTTCTTGAGCCACCCCTTTGTTGCCTTGGCCGTGTGTTTTGGGTCATTGTCATGCTGGAATACCCATCCACGACCCATTTTCAATGCCCTGGCTGAGGGAAGGAGGTTCTCACCCAAGATTTGACGGTACATGGCCCCGTCCATCGTCCCTTTGATGCGGTGAAGTTGTCCTGTCCCCTTAGCAGAAAAACACCCCCAAAGCATAATGTTTCCACCTCCATGTTTGACGGTGGGGATGGTGTTCTTGGGGTCGTAGGCAGCATTCCTCCTCCTCCAAATACGGCGAGCTGAGTTGATGCAAAAGAGCTCCATTTTGGTCTCATCTGATCACAACACTTTCACCCAGTTGTCCTCTGAATCATTCAGATGTTCATTGGCAAACTTCAGACGGGCATGTATATGTGCTTTCTTGAGCAGGGGGACCTTGCGGGCGCTGCAGGATTTCAGTCCTTCACGGTGTAGTGTGTTACCAATTGTTTTCTTGGTGACTATGGTCCCAGCTGCCTTGAGATCATTGACAAGATCCTCCCGTGTAGTTCTGGGCTGATTCCTCACCTTTCTCATGATCATTGCAACTCCACGAGGTGAGATCTTGCATGGAGCCCCACGCCGAGGGACATTGACAGTTATTTTGTGTTTCTTCCATTTGCGAATAATCGCACCAACTGTTGTCACCTTCTCACCAAGCTGCTTGGCAATGGTCTTGTAGCCCATTCCAGCCTTGTGTAGGTCTACAATCTTGTCCCTGACATCCTTGGAGAGCTCTTTGGTCTTGGCCATGGTGGAGAGTTTGGAATCTGATTGATTGATTGCTTCTGTGGACAGGTGTCTTTTATACAGGTAACAAGCTGAGATTAGGAGCACTCCCTTTAAGAGTGTGCTAATCTCAGCTTATCTTTCTGATTGAGAGGGGGTAAAATACTAACTTTCCCTCATTAAAATGCAAATCAATTCATAACATTTTTGACATGTGTTTTTCTGGATTCTCTTGTTTGTTTTCACTGTTCAAATAAACCTACCATTAAAATTATAGACTGATCATTTCTTTGTCAGTGGGCAAACGTACAAAATCAGCAGGGGATCAAATACTTTTTTTCCTCACTGTAAGTAGGAGGGTGCACGTGCAGGTGTGTGTGAGTCTTGGTGTGTTAAACAGACAGGTGAGTGTGTGTTAGTGTAGGTGTGTTAGGCTAAAGCACAGCAGGTTGGCACAGTAGGGGGCACAGGTGGTGCATCAGCCAGTCATCTTAGTCAGTCGACCCGTGGCACCTGGGTCTGCCCCGTGACCTGTCAGCGGGCGTTCGACACTTCACGTGGCCTCAAGGTGCACATGGCCTGGCACAAGTGTCCTGGTGACGTCACCGCCACTTAGTGGCGAATGGCGGTTGTTGTTGTTGTGTTAGGCAGACAGGTGCGAAGCAGATGAGTTTGTAAGTGCAAGTCTCCTAGGCAGTCGGATTAGCGCGTTAACGTTAAAGTAGGCTATGTGGACAGGTAAGTAGTTGCACTGTATAGGTGCGCGTGTATAATAGGGGAAGCATCCGAGGTAGGTGCATGTGTGGAACGCAGGTAGCCGGAATGTGCGTGCGCGCGTGATAGCTCGTATTCGACCAGGAAGTTGTATTATTCAGACGCGTAAGTGACCCATTCCATCGCACGTAACTCACGCCACGTGCTATGCGTGCAAGGCATTTGAAACATGCACGTGGGGAGCGACAGCGTAGTTGGCGGAGCGCGCACTGCACTATGAACCAAGTTTAATATCCGGCTTACGGGGCAACATCAGTGGTGATAATTATCTGAACCGGTTATGGGCTTCCCCGTAAGTCGACTCAGCCTCGACTGGGTACCTGGAGCGGTGTGTTAACAACGCCACTGGGGAGACAAAGGCGGCCGTGCGTGGTTCTCGCCACCCCCCTCTCGAATGCCGGGGGATCTATACGGGGAAACTCTCTGTTACTTATATTGCTACAGTACCATTAGACAAACACAATTTCAAAATAACAAAAAACTTTCGTTCGTCAATAACACTTCAGCCTTTAATGGAAAAATATATAATAGGCAACGTTTCGGGACATGGCCCTTCTTCAGAGCAGATAAATAAGTTGAATAGTATTAGATTTTACGTGCTATGAAGTAGGGTCATTGCCCAAAAACGTCACCTATTATATATTGTTCCCCTTTTAAGGCGTCAGCGTTGTTGCTGTTGTTGTTAATTGTGCTTATCCGCCACTGGTAACGCAGCAGCGGTGGCTAGTAGATGTTAACTACCTCACCTGGTATACAGGGGGCCGTGGGTTCGATCTCGA